GAGGCTGCGGGTAGCTTCGCAACCCAGCGCTCAACTGCTGTGCCACCGAGGAGGCCCTTCTCAATAAGTTTTAATGATTTCTTTTAAAGATTGTTTTCAGTTTTATTTTATTGCTGTTTTGTCTCATTTTCATTGATTTCTGCTTTTACCTGTATTATCACCTTCGTTCCACCTGCTTTTATTTAATTTGCTCTTCTTTTTGAACACGATTCTTTTCATCTGTCACATTTAATATTATAAACTTCCCTCTAAGTACTGCTTAAAGTTGTATATCACAGATTCTGATACATTTCATTCAGTTCAAAAATATTTTTAAATTTCTGTTTGGTCTCCCTTCATCTTACCCATTTGACGCATGTGTTATTTTTAGGAGGCTGTTTAATTTCCATATATTGGGAATTTTTCCAGAGATCTTTCTGTTTTTATTTGTAGTTTAATTCCATTATGGACAGAAAAAAAATATCTTTTACTCAAAGTCAAAATATTTTTGAAGTTGATAGGAATTTTAAATAAACTTAATGGAAAGACAACTGACAAAAAAAGCATATTGGGCCAAAGTGCAAGTCGTTTCTAATAGACTATCAATATCCAAATAAATAATTGAAGCTGATATTTTAGCTCTATAAAGTACCAAACATTTATCAAGCTCAAATAACAGTCAGATTCATATTACTTCCAAGTGCCTTTAAAATATGTATCAGATCTTATCACTCTTTCATCCAAAAATGTATAATGGCTACCACTTCATTTCGATCAATAATAAAATTATACGATGTCTCAAGATGGCAAAAATTATTGGAACATTCACTTATTTAGCTGAAGTTCCAAAAATATAATCTGTGTAATAAAATAGTTGCTAACTGAATAATTTCTACTATTTGGGGAGATCTAACAGAAAAGAATATTTTTGTCATATCCCCGATGGCAAACAGAAACAATATTAGAATAATAAAAGCTGGCTCATTTAAACTGACCTAAGCATGTATGTACCATATTTGCTAAATTTTAGTAATTATTAAACAGATACATATTTATGCCATTCAATAAAGAAACCACTTAGGCTTAATTTTGATTTTTCACTAAATATCAACATTGGAAAAAATGTGAGCTTGCACAATTTTTGTGTTATCTACCTGAAATTAAACTTCTAATTATTTTATAGTGCATTTTGTATAGAAACCAATCCTTAAAAACCTGAATTTGCATATAAATACCAAATATACAAAGGGAAAGTAATGTTTACTCCTCATTTTACCCCCCACCACATACAAAAGCTTCAGAAATAGGACATTTTGTATGCATCCTTATTGGGGCAAGACATATTAGCTTAAACAAGTCTAGGGTATAAGTATACATAAAAGTGAAATTACAATTTTTTTAAAGCAAAGAAATTTAACAAGATTAATAATTCATCTGTAGCCTTTAATTCTAAACACTGGATATTACTATAAAGCAGTTTTTCTTATTTTTAAAGATCACTTTAAAAAAATCACCTAGAAAATGACTTCATTATGAAGGTCAAAATAGCTACATAGAGGAAAAATGAAAAAAAAACTACAGCTATGTTAAAGTTTTAGGAACAAGTGTTTGTGGATTGAGATAAAATCATTTTCACAGCTGTGGAAGTTTTCTGTCATGAATCTTAAATTGAAAAGAATATGTATTTTGGAAAACTATTAATAACCTGAAACGTAGATATAGTTTTAAAAACATTAATGTCAAAGTTATATGTAAAGAATCAAAACACCATTTCATAAAATGTTGTCAAAAAGAATCAATATTTAAAAAAATTACCTCATAGATATTTAAGTAGTATATATCCTAAAGTTTATGCTTAGTTTAAATTAGCTATTTTGCTAGATTCCTTAGATAGCATTGACCTCAAGAACCATTTCAAACTACAGAAATATATTAAGAGTTTTCCATAACTAAGTTTGCGGGGCTTTTTAGGGGAAGAGGGGATCAAGGTCCAATAAAACTTTCATAAAGGACTCAGATGGCTCCTAGAGATCATATTGTTCTTTGCAAAGTATCATTAAATAACACTTATTTTGAAATAAATTTTACTAGACATATATGAAATCACAATCATGAAAATACACGTCCAAGGGAAAAAAAAATTGAACTGTAGAATTAATCCTAACTTGCCCTATCTTGGTAACTCAATGGGTGTGTTGTCTGCTGACAGACAAGCAACAATCATGTTAGCCTGAGTCACATAATGCTTCCACAAAAGTCTTACATTCATCCTACAAATAGGACTATTGTGCTGCTAGTTTAAGTAAATATCTTTAATTAAAACATAAATATTATAAATGAAAATATCTTAAATGGCAAATATTAAAATTATAATTTGCATTATTAAAATAATCTTCATGGGGAATTGAATGGATCTGTTTTGTTAACTGATGTGACATGAATTTCAATGATAAGACACACAATACTAACTCCTGGTGGGTAAGGCCAATATATTGTTTCTGTACTTTCACACATCAAAAGTCACAGATAAATCAGAATAAATTTAACACAGATAACATTTGTGCATCATTTCCTGCATTTAAAATGTATGAAAGAAGGTGGCATCACAGGAGGTTCCTTGCTTTGCTCCCCAGGGTATCAACTGGGTAAACCAGCAGAATACAGCAACTTAAGAATCCCTTAGCTTAGGGTACAACTGGAACACCTTATGGACACAAGAGACCAGGCGGACTGCAAGGGAAGGGACAAGTAAATGATTCATGTTTCATTGAAAAAGAGGTGGGTAGAGAGGCTATGGTTTGGGTAGGGAAGTTGCAGCGAAAACTGCAGTATTGCTACTTTGCCAGTCACTTGGCCAAAGGTCCTACAAAAAAAGGAGAGCTGATAAATGTGGAAGCACATAGCATTGGCCATAGGAAATAAGCACATGGTCAAGTCCCTAGTGAAAAGAACAAGGACATGAGCTGGGCTACACATCCCTCTTCACACCTCTCTAGACTGGTACTGACATTGTCAAGCCCACTGATAACACAGGCTGACAACAGTTGCAAGTCTGGAATCCCAGAAGAAGCCCATCAGCAGTGTCACAAAAATAAGCTGCATCCCTGCACCCTCTTTCACATACTAATTCAGCCGTTTCAGGTCTCAGACAAACAGAAGCACAAAAATGTCAAAGAGCCAAAATCACATAAAAACCACAGTGCCACCTGCTGTAAAGGCATAGTTGATTCAAGAAAGAGCATTTTGCCTAACTGAAACAATGTGAGAAATTCAGGTGAATAAGCATCATTAATTATAGTTTACTCATTTTTTTGTTTACTTGGTATATTAAACTGTGTTAGTATACTTTCCATTCCTGTTCCTGTTATCTGGTGGTACAAAACCTAAAAATATTGTAAAAAACTACACACCAATAAATGTAACTTCTGAGTTATACTGCTATCATTCCTCTATCTGTAGGTTAACTATCTACCTACCAACCACTCTGTAATCTAAATTGAAACATCTTTTAAATTACCCTAGAAAACAAATATAAAGTAGAATTGCCCCAAACAAGCTGAAACATATGGTCACTCCATTTATGTACTAATTGTATATGAGCATTCCCTTTAAAGAAATATTTGTGGAGCAGAATGGCTTTAGTCAAGTATCACTGACTTTGATGCATTACCTAGAATCATGACAATAAAATAAGAATTATTTTATTAGCAACAAAAATATTTGTCTATATACTGAAAGTCTTAAATAGAAATCTCATTTGGTACACTGCAAGTGCACACCAAACAAATGAGTTGTATGACTATCAGCTCTATGTTCCATTCGATATTTGATTTCTTATGGATAGGTCTACTTGATAATCAAAAGCTCAAGATTTCCTAGGAAATCGAGCTTAACTGTTTATCTGGCATGCTGGTAAAATGGCTTTGAAATTGATGCATATGTAAAATCTAATCTAAAATTCATAGTTTTGTAAAAGAAGGCAAGTTAAATAATCACATGACAACATTAACACCTCAAAAAGTGGTCTCACTCATAGCAGGAATCTAGAAAACTTAAATAAGAGACCAGGAAAAAGAATAACTATAAGAAAGTAAAAATCAAAATCAACAAACAACTATGAACCAGACACTCTATGGGGGTTGGGGGGGGGTGGGGAAAGGAGGGGTTGGGGTCAAAATAAGGGGGTTGCAATTGTATGGGGAATATAATAAAAAAAACAAAACCTCAAAGTCATTCCTTAGTATAGAGACTAGCATCAGAGGAAGAAAAAAATTAAAAGTTAATTTACTTCAGCATATTACAGCTTTGCCCCAAATCACTAAGAGTTTAAACCAAAATTATAAATGTTTTCCATATATAATATAATAAATGAGTCACAAACAAAAGAAATTACAAATTTCAGGATTTGTGAAGTAACAAGTATATAACTCTGAAGTATGCTCTGGCATTTTAACTCTGAAGTTAAACTTCATGGTGAAGGACAGAAATATAAAATACTACACATATTTGGGCCTCCCCGGTGGCGCAGCGGTTGAGCGCTGGGTTGCGAAGCTGCCCGCGGCCCCTGCGGCGCCGGTTCGATCCCCGGCTGCTCCCCGGCCACCAGAGGAGGGTCCCACATGGCGCGCAGACCTCTCCTGCCGCCCGCTGCTCCCCTCAGCAGTGTACTTCGGTCCTTCTGCCTGCTCTGATTCCCGCTCTGGCTCTGGTAAATTCTCTCACCCTCCCGTGCTTCTGACTGTACCCAGTGCATGTATAAACAAAACAAACAAACAAACAAATAAATAAATAAAACATGCCTCTATTTAAAAAAAAAAAAAAACAAAGTATAAAAAAAAAAAATACTACACATATTTATCTTTCATAACCTATAAAAAGATATACAAGAATATGAAGGTGTCATTATATAAAAAACTTAAATTCCTACACCCTGGTAATAAATTGAAGATGCTATTTCTAAAATTCTAAAAATTCCCCATTCTATCCCCAACATATTTCATTGTAGTCACTGATCTCAATTTATGCCTTAAGATTATGACATCAGCAATCACGCCATAGCTACCTAAGTCATATCCATACTTGCCCCCGTGGGTCCTTTCCTGAAGGAAGCTGAAAAATGTAAGCCTGTTTCTCTGTGAGTGTGAAGGGTTTACAAGAAAAGTAAAAGCAGAAAACTGGGGAGGTGGGAGTGGGGGGCGGGGGATGGAGGCGGGTTAACCCAAAAGGACAAAGAGAAAGTGAGGGTCAAAGGCACTTCCAAGCAATTAAATCCTCTATTTAACTGAGGAAAACATGGTCTGAATTTCCCATACAATCTTACATAAAGCGCCCCCAATAATTCCACCTCTTCTAATCTCTTCTAATACTGACACCTTCAAAATATCAACTATAGAGAGATACCCCAGGATTTTATGGTTAGAATTCCTTCGGCCTAAAATACACTAAAATTTTCAAATGGCTAGCTTCTCCTCAACATTCAAGTTTCTAAATAGTTGCTCAATGTTGCATACTTACTCTATGAAAGATAGCTCCTTCCCTCTGTGATCAACCCCATCACCTAGACTTTATTTTTTAACAGTATTAATAATTATGTTATGCTGTATTATCTATTTTCTAGTCTGGGTGCATACCGTCAGTCCTTCCAAGTACAATGTGTTTCATGAAGTAGAAACTTCTTTTGTCTTTCTCATTGTTTCCCGGCTGTAGTCTAAGCCAAGAGCAGAGCAAGATGCCTAAGAGGCAGTCAGTAAATACTTGCTAAATGAAAATTGTATCACTAAAAAAATTTTGCTTTGACAAGTCCTTTATTTTGAGATCCTGAAGTATATCTCAATGCTTTTAACCTCCTTTAAAAGATTCTGACAACAGAATATGCTCAGGAAGCATACTTTATTGATCTAAAGGAGTACTATTACAATGAAAATTTGTTTCAATTTAGTACATGTTCTTTTTGAAGCTAGGAAAACATTAAATACAAAAAGTTCTGCTGAGATTGACCGATACTTTTAATTCACCATCAATTTCAGAAGACAATAAAAGAAACACAGAAGAGTTTTAGTCTCTGTCTGCACTGACTATGTAACCAAATAAATTTTGATTACAACATAAACAGAGGAGGAATTTTTTTTTAAGATTTAAATATCAAAAAAATCTACCATGACAAACAGAATCTCCTCGTCTGAAATTTTTAAGAAGAGCCAGATAATTCAAAGATCGGCCTCCATTCAGCATTCAATGAAGAAGGAACTTTACTCCCTTGATGTTATAACTAAAACTGAATGTTTATACTGCTTTGAAATTTGAATGTTGAAATCCTATGCCTTTCCTATTGACAGTATTAGAAAGGAAGGCCTTTGGGAAATAATTAAGATTAGATGAGGTCATGAGAAAGGCGCCCTTAAATGGAATTAGCACCCTTTTAAGAATCATAAATGAGCTTGCTTCCTTACTTTGCTTTCTACATTAGAAACATAACAGAAGTCCTGAGTCTGCAAACTCGAAAAGGGTCCTCATCAGAACTTGACACCACATTAGTATCCTGAGGATCTTGGACTTCTAGCCTCCAGAACTATGAGATTTCTATTATTTACAAATTGTCCCAGTGTATGGTACTATAGCCGTCCAAACTGACTAAGACACTTGTAGAGTTTAGGGGCACATTGTTTTAAGTTCTCTTTATACATAATTCTAGAGCAGTGGTTCTCAATTTTGGATGCACACTAGAAAACAAAACAGAAAAAGTACTGATATTTGGGGCCCAATCATCAGATACACTGATGCAATCACTCTGGGTTATGGCTTGGGAATAAAGATTTCTAAAAGCTCCATAGACAATACAAATACAAGATACCAAAGTTAAACCAAAGCTTAAAAGATAAAACTAATAGCTCCATCATAAAAGTAGTTTTATTATATGAAGATAAAAATAACTTCTCTTAATTGAAAGGCCATCTAGTCATTCGGCCATTAGCTTTTGTTTAAAATAAAGAACAGTCAAATATTTTGTTATATAAAAAGCACTAGAACCTATCTCGTGCTTTCTCTCAATTATAAAACATCAAAATATCTACAGTGTAATAAGCACTGTGCTAGAAACTAATAAATAAAACTGGATCCCTATATTCTTTGTAATCAGGCACCCACCTCTACCCTTTCTCAGGTGTCCCCACCTCACCACAATAACTGTCTCCTTTCCTCGGGAGTTAGACTATGTCAGGAGTATAATGTCAAATACATACCTGTATAGGACTAGTGCTCAGATTTACAGAGTTACTGGATGTCAAGTTTTTTAATCAAGGACTATTCACAGCAATGAATTCTAATAAAGAAGAAATTCACTCTGTAAAGAATAGATATCCTAGAATACAAAAGATATGATCTCACAAATAAGTTCTAGCAAGATTAGATGGATAAAACACATAAATGAGTATTTGTGATATCTAGAAGGGAAAAGATTTTTCTAAGTATAAAAGGAGAAAAATAAGACTTATTAAAGTTTTACAAAAATTACCCTTAAAAAAATGTAAATGACCTACCAGAAATAATTTTATGACATTTGGCAAAGATTCACATAAATATACAAAGATTGACTCAAAAACTGAAGTCACACTCACTACCATTAGCCAAAAGATGAAAGGACATTTAAAATACTTTTCTCCAGTAGAAAAACTGGACATAACCTAGAGATACATTGTAAGTGTACAGAAAGTTACAGTGTCAAAATAGATTATTATATGAACAAAGATATTTACAAAAAAAGTATTCAAATGAAAAAATAACAAAAAAACTCAAGATACATCATGTTAAAAGTAAGGTTATATAATTCTCAAATCTAGTAAAAATTTACAAAGAAAAATTGGGATTCAAATATTAACTTGTTTTCCTTTATGCTCTGTAATTTTTATAATGAGTATGTAATTAACAGAAAGTTTCAATATCCATATCCCTTGGTCTAGAAATCTGTAAGAAATCTTCTGAAATCCACAGTAAAAGGGAAAGAAGTACTCACTGCAGTACTATTTGTAACAGCAAAAGAAGTAAAGGTAAAACTGGCATTAAATTAGCACCTCCATCAAAATTTAAGGGCATAGGAAAATATAATGAGGAAGGAAATCAAGATATATAATAAGGGTTCCAATTTGTTAAAAATGTGTGTGTATATATGTATACACACACATGTATTTGCAGAAACATGGAATGAATGAAAATATAACACTGTTCATTTATAACTGTGGGCATTTCTATATTTTCCAAGTTTTCTGAGATTTTATAAAGTTGTCCATCCATTCCTAAAGAGCAACAACAGTGTTTACCATTAATAATAACCTAAAACAGTTTATTTTAAATTACTTCAAATATATTCACTTTTCTAAACATAGAAAGCTAAGAGCATATTAGATACTGCTATACAAACATGGCACACAATCAACATGGCAGGAGCAAGTGCAATGAAACTGCACTGACTCTATACCTGTTGAGTACTTTTGTATGTACACATAGGAAATAACTTTATAACTAAATCAATAAGAGCTAGAAAATCTATAACATGTGGCACTTTATTAGCCATAAAAGATATTTCACATGCAAGATATTTTCACAGGTTACTCAACCTATTTTAGTATAATAGTCTCCTTAACCCATCAGTTTATTTGCAATGACTATATGGTTTATTTACAGTCACAACCAAGTAATTGGAACTTGATTATCCATCTCTTTTCAGACAATGGATAACAGGAGAAACAGGAATGACAACTAAAAAGAAACAACAAAATGAAACCTACTACTGTCCCATCTTTCTGCCAAATTCAGTGATATTTGAGAAAAACAAGGCACAGAATGTAAATCCTATTTAGTCCAGGAGACAAAGATCAGAATTTGGAGAAGTTTAGAAAGTTAAAATGTATGAGACGAAAATGCGCAAAAACTGGGAAAAGAAATTAGTAGGGAACTATAAGATAAACAAATACAGATAAAGCAAGATCCAAGCAGCAAGAGAGGATTTTACTGAACATCTTGTATTGTTAGATAACATGGACAGGCCATACATAAAAAGAGGGCTACTCTAACTTTGGAGTACAAGCTATTAGAAAGATGCTATAACAATACTTCAAAACAAGTCTCAAATGAATTAATCTAATTGGCAAGTAACCCACTAGATAAAAATATTCACTCTCTTTAGAGCACAGGATGTAACATTTGAACACTCAACAATCACAATGTACAATATTACAATGTATCACAATGTACAGTATCAAAATTAAAATTTCTAAATTCGCAAAGAAGGGAGAAAATGTGTCCCAGGATTATGAAGAATAAAAACTGGTAAATAATAGTAACAAATTTTGAAACAGCAGGCATGGAATGCGCAGGCAAAGTTTTCCTTCCTTACAGGGACAAATCTAAAATATCTATCTGCAAGACCCAAAAGTGAAAGCTACACAATAGTGTTGGGAAATATTAAAGAAAATATAAGTAAATGGTTATTGGGTGAGTCGACATTACATCAGCTATACAAAACAAACTTCTAAGTCTGATAGGACTAAGAAGCCACTAGGCTATTAACTTCAACTTGGATGATCCAAATTTTTATCTTTGAAACAAGATAATCAAAAAACTGACTAGTCAAATTATTTGTTTTTTTCCTAACCCAATTGTATTTTTTTTTGACAATGAAGGCATTTATTTTTTAATACATTTTTTTACATCATTTTTCATTTTTGCACAATGTATGCATTTTCATCTTGGTTATAGTCCCCACACAATTCTCACCCCCTTGTTTTGATTCTACTCCCTCCTCCCCCCCCCTTGTAGTGTGTCTCTGGTTTATAGTTGCTTGTTGATTTTGATTTTTACTATAATATAATTAGGTTTTTTCCTGGTCCCTTGTTTAGGTTTTCTAAATTCCTGCTATGAGTGAGACCATCCGGTATTTTTTTTTCTTTCTGGCTTATTTTTGCTGAGCATGATAAGAAGATATAGAACACCTAAACAGAACAATTACAAGCAGTAACCCAATTGTATTTTATCAGTAAACTCTTGGTTTACATTGTATAGAAACTATATGAATTAAACATGTTTATATCTGGAACACTGAATAAGTTATTCAGTTCAATGTGGAG